CCCTGCTGTGTCAGTCACAGATCAAGATGGACACTTTCCTCCTGTGCAAGGAGGGGGCAGCTGATCCCCCCCTGCGTCTGAGAGCAGAGTACCGAGCCCCATGGTACCAGGCAGAGTTCTCCATGAGAGCTGTGACCCCAGCCCTCGGGGGGACCTACAGGTGCTATGGCTCTCACAGCTCAGCCCCCTACCTGCTGTCACGGCCCAGTGCCCCCCTGGACCTGGTGGTCTCAGGTGAGTGACCCTGACCCCATCCTCTGTGAGCTCCAAGAGTCACTCAGGGCCCTTTCCCCTACAGAGCTCTGTGACATGAAGACAAGAGGAGAGGAGAGTGGAGGCTCCCGGGGAGGGTCCTGCCCCCAGAGGAGGTAGAGCGTGGTCACCTCCCACTGTGGCATGTCCACTGCTCAAGGTCAGACAGAACTAGGAGCAGGAGGGATGTGAGGAGATGGTGGCCCTCAGAGGGGGCAGGATGGAGACTGGGGATAGGAGAGAGACCCCCCTCCCCTCCTGAGTGAGTCTCCATCTCAGTCAACACCTGAGGGTGTCCACCCCAGCACCCACTCCTATGGCCACCAGACCCAGGCTGGGGTGGCCTTGGGCAGGGCCCTGCTGAGCTCACCTGTGGCCCACCTCACTGCCCTCCTGGGACGTGGGAAGGTCCTGCACCTGCTCCCTGGGGGACCTGGGCTCACTGTCCACTTGGCCTCTGCTCCTCACTCTCCTTTTACTGTGTGGCCTCTGCAGCAGGGAGACGCTGGCCTCGTGGAATGCCCCTGAGGTGTTTTCCCTCCTGTCTTCAGGAACAGCTGGACATGCCACTCTAGCTGCTCTCTAAATGTCTGGAGGTGGCAGCGAAGCCATCCCGACCGTCCTATGATCTGAAGGGGACGTCCACATGGCTACTCAGTGCCCTCAGCAAGGACGGCCCGTCTCCCATATTGGTCCTGACTGAGCCTGGGCAGGTGCACGTGTGTGGGAGAGAGCCTGTCCTGCAGGTGCACATCTCGGCTTGGCATCCTGGGGGTCCTCCTGGTCCCCTTTCCACAGCTCATTGGCACGGGCGGAGTGTCCGCTGTTTCCCTGCGTAGCTTACTAGGGTGGGCCCAGTGTGTTGCCCTAAGTCCTGACCCTCCCTGTGTGCAGGTGGTCCTTGTCTGACTCATCTGCCTCTCCCTGATTTCCGTTTCCTCCCATTACTAATTGTGGCTTTGGTTGGCTCCTGTTTCCTGGTTCCTGAGGTGGGTGGCTGATGGCGTGGCCGGGGGCTGACCGTGGTGCTGGTCCTGTGAGCGCCTCTGAGATGCAAGACGAGCTGCGGAGGCTGGCCTTCCATTTGGGGTTTCTCTCGAAGGACGTGGATTTCCCTTTTTCAATTCCTCCTTGACTGCTGGGTATTCAGAGCCTGCTGTTTGGTTCCTGTATTTGTGAAACGTCAAGTTCCTCCTGACCTGAGGTCGCATGTTGTCCCACTGTGTGCAGCAGCTGGTGCTGGGACCTCTGTCTGCTCCATCTCTGAGGCTGTCCTTGGGCCCCACATGCTCTTCCTGGAGACCAGCCATGCGCAGTTGAGAGGAACGTGCACTCTGTTGGGTGAAGCATCCTGTGAATGCAGAGAGGTCCGTCTGCTGAGGTCCCGTGAAATCCCTGCGTGCTGGCTGCTTTCTGCACAGATGACCGGTCCACTGTGGGACAGGGCTTGGCCTCCCCTCGTCCTACCACTCAGGGTCTCGCCTTGCTCTGGCCACGTTTCCTTCACAGGGAAGGGAGCTCCGGGGTTGGGAGGTGTTTCCACAACCGCATCTTGTGGAAGAGACCCCTGGGCTATGGCAGTGGTCATTCTGTCCCTTTCCACCCTTCTACCTTGAAGTCTGAATTCTAACCCTGAGGTGACAGTCCCTGCTTTCCGTGACTCCTGTTTGCGGGGACACCACGGTCATGCCCTGGCTGTCACCCCCTGTGTCCTCAGGAGAGGCGAGGGTCCTGTACACAGCACACACTCGGGCCTTGCTGTGGTCCACCTAGACCCTCCATGTTTTTAACTGGAGAGTCCCTTCCATGAACTGCAGGTCACCACGGTGCTGAGGCCGGCTCTGCCCTCGGGTCATGTTTCTCGGTTCCTTTGTCTCCCTGGGCTCCTCTCGCCCACCCTCCCGTCTTCCCTTGCGATTTGGAGGGCCTCTGCTTCACCCACCTCCTTCCTTTCTCTTTTCATCTGTGAACAGCTGCGATCTCTTTCTACACAGAACCTAAGGTCCAACCCCGACGACTTCTTGTTAGCATTGCCTCATCCTCAAACGTGGAAAATCCAGCCTTCTTTGTCGTCTCACTCCTACAGTGTGTCCCTTCATGGCCACTCTGAACAAAGTGTCTGCTTTAGTGATTCACAAGTCGGTTCTTTGTTCCTTCCCATCTTCTAACATGGTTGACAAGGAGGTAAAGGGTCTGACCTGGGTGTGGACATCGTCTGCTGTTACTTCCTAGGATACTCCCGGATGCCCTGCAGGTGAGGTCGGCCTTGCTCACTCTGTGTCGTGGGGTGGGTGTATCCTCGCTGGGCGGTCTGCTGGAGCTCCCTCTGTCGGGGCCCTAGGGGTGGACGGTAGGGGTAGACGGTAATGCGCTGCCCTTCAGGCCCAGGACTCCCTCTCCCCCCGTCCCTCCTGCTGCTCCCTACTCCCCCTCCTGTTCCTTCTGAGCTCTGTGAGTCACTCTTCATGGATCTGCACAAGGTGAGACCCCTTGGTCAGGTCGTGAGGACCTGCATGATGTGGCCCATTCCTTCCCCCTCCTCCCTCTCCCTGTCCCTCCTGCCCTCCACCAGGGCCCTCTCTCAGGGCAACTGGTCCCCCTTCTGTGTTTATGAGTCTCCCTTCTCCCCCTTTTTAACTCTAGCTCCCACGGGGGAGAGACCAGGTTTTGATTTGATTTTCTGAGTCAGGCTGGTTCATTCACATGACTCCTCCCCTCCCACCCGTTCCCCAGCAAATGACAGAATTTCCCCTTCCTTACGGCTGGGGGGAGCTCCTGTATATGATGCCGCATCTTCTTTGTCCATTCAGCGGTGGTCGGGCACCTGGGCTGCTCCATCCCTTGATTGGTCACACGGGGTCCATTCTAGTCTGGAGGCGTCTCCAAGACTTTACAGAGTGGTCGTACTGATTCAGCCCACAACAATGTCCAGTGCACTTTACCCTCCTCCCAGCTCAGATGACCATTGCGCTCCTCACACCGGCCTTTCTGTCTGCAGCGAGGGGGAACCTCAGTGGAGTTTACTAGGATCTTCCTGATTTCTGGAGACGTTGAGCCTTTTATTCATAGACTTCTGTCCCTTTGCGTTCTCACTGTCACAGGTGCCTGCTCCATTATTTGGCGCCTCCACGTGTCTGTCTGGTTCAAGCCTTTGGGGTCCTCCCTACACTCTGGACGCTGAGGCCCAGCTGAAGGAGCAGTGGGAAGACTTTGCCGCACTCGTAGGCTCTCTCTTCTTGCTCTTCAATGTTCACTTCATGGGAAGCTTAAAATTTGATGCCGTTCTACTTATTGATTCTTGGTTTCATTTCTGGGCCTCATCTTCTTATTTATCAGTGAAACATGATTAACTCTGGGAAAATGGAAGGTTTATTTATGGATTTCTAAGTCACACTGTTCTCATTTCATGTACAAACAGGAATCTACTCATACCCCAATATTTAAACACCTACACTCTGAGGAGCACATGTCATTTGGGAACATACACATTTAAGCTGCATGTGTGTCTGTCACCCTGGGGTGGACCACCTAGTGGCCATGGGCAGTGGAGGCAGTGAGCAGACCCAGGGGTGCTGGCTCAGCTCTCTGAACCCTTCAACCCCCTGCTGTTTTCCTGTTTCTTAGAAGCAGCTGGTGCCACCAGCCCCTCCCACAACCTGTCAGACCCCAGCTCTGGGGAGTAAGGGGCACTGGGTTATGGGCTGTGCTCAGGGGTCAGTCCCATCAAGATGGGTGGGCGATCTGTGGACCTGAGGGGTCCCTGGGGTGACCTGGGTCTGCACTTACCTCCGTGACCCCTTGGTCCCCATTGCAGCCTCACCCCACAGGGACCACACAGTGGAGAATGTCATCCGCTTGGGCCTGGCTGGCTTGGTCTTGCTGGTCCTCGGGATCCTGCTGTTTGGGACTCGGCACAGCCAGAGAGGGACCCAAGATGCAGGCAGGAGGTGAACATGGAGGGAGCAGTGCATCTCCCTGCAAAACGGAGCTGGGGAAACACACCTGATGCTCCCAGGAGAGGGGAGGAAGTCGGGTGCGCATCAGGAGGGCTGGCTGGACGCTGGGTGGACGTGGCTTCCAAGGGAGACGTCTGGGCTGAGGTGTGGGATGCTCCTCCAGGAGGTGGGGGTTGAGCCTCCTAGTCCCCCTCCTCCTCTCACCCCAGGACACTGGGTGCACCCACAGCCTAGGACCCCACATGTTTCCTGTCCTGTCTCTTGGCCACAATCCTGTGAAACATCATTAAATATTAATGACCACACTCCCCTCCTGGTATGAAGTCTTGATTCTCTCTCTCTCAGCGTGGATTTGTAGTAACTGAACAGAAGAGCAAAAGGTGCCTGACTTCCCAAGAGGAGTCCACACTCACATGTGGCACCCCCCGTGGGCCCAGAGCCCCTGAACTTCACCAGGTGTCACTCTTGGTTCCCCAGAGACACCATTGCTTGACATTGGCACTCGGTGTCGGAGGGACAGCCGGATGGTGCTGGTCCATTGCCCTGTGAAATAAGAGCGTCCCAAGTTGTCCCTTTGCTAGTTACCGTGGGGTGCACACTCCCTGCCAGCCAACTGTTGGTGCCTTCTTCCTCCTGGATATGGGTGGGAGGCCGTGGGTGGGACGTCATGAGGGCCGGGGAGCCCACTGTGCCACAACCAGGCTGGCCTCAGCGTGCACCGGGCACCTAAGCTGCCTTCACGTAGCGGTCATGAAAATTGTTCTCCAAATTAGTTGTGCATTTCAATAAAATTATGATGCCAACATCCGTAAGACCAGGAGCCAGGCAGCAGCCGCCTTGTGGGGTAGAATGGGGGCTGTGAAGGCCCAGCACTCTGTGGAGAGGGAGGCTGGCCTAGGTAACCACGAGAGGGTGCTGGTGCTGGCTGGTTAAGAGGAGGAGAAGGGTCCTGGGCTCAGGAATCAGCCCTGGGGAGAGAGTCCCACTCAAATCCAGATAGAGTCACCGTGTGACAGGATTGGGGCTCTGAAGAGTCAAATGATTGAAGATAGAATCCCACCCACCAGGACAGGGGCAGGCAGAGCTGTCCCAGGGAACTGTCCTCTGTCCCAGACAGCAGCACTACAGGTCTGTCCCCTGGGTGGGGGAGGACACCAGGAAATCCCTCTCCACACCCCCACACAGAGGCAGCCTGGGCCACCAACATTGCTGTAAACACAACCTGTGAGCAGCTAGAGGCCTGGCTGGGTGCTGCTGGGTGACCTGCAGCCACCTGGGGGTCCTGATGCACAGAGCAGGTCCACCAGGAGGKGGCAGCACGTCCCCTTCCTGGGCTGAGCCTGGGTGGACAGCCCTCAGCTCCTGGGTGAGGACCCAGAGTGTCCTGCTAACTTAAAGGGACCCGGCTGCCCCTCAGTGGATGGGTCAGGTGGCCATGCCACCCCTGGGTGAGGACATGAGCCCACCTGATGTGGCAGTGRGCTGCTCCAGGGTCACCTCCCCTGCTGGGTGTGGCCGCTGTCCTGAGCATGGGTGAGTAGCAGCCTGGAGGGTCCCCTGCAGTGTCACCTTCTGTGGGGCTCTTTCTCCACACAGAACTAGGCCCAGATGTAGCAGTGGACACAGGCAGGACATATGGGGTCTTCATATCCAAGGTCCCTGCAAACCCATGTGGGAAGTGGTCACCATGGGGGGGGTGGGGGGGGGACTTGGGGAGGAAACCATGTGGCCCTCTTGTCAGGTGTGTGTTGCTGTTGGAGTGGGCAGAGACGGGTTGTGGGGTAAAACTTCAGCTTGAGAAGTAAGAAAAGTGAAGATATAGAGGCCAGTTCATGAGTCTCACAAAGCATGAGGCCCTCAGAAGTCGGGGACATCAGGGCCGTGGGACGGACACAGTGTCCACCTTCAGTTTCAGGGAAGAGAATTGTTGTGGTTCCTCCAAGGGGACCAGGTGTGGCTGGACTGTGGCCCCCGCTGCCTTTACTAGGGGTGCAAGACCCAGGTGGAGTCCACCTGGTTCCCGGCTGTCGTTAGAGTCAGCGGAGTTCCCACAGGGGTCACTCTGGGGGAGCAGCTTCTTAGCTCTCTAGGGCCATCGGCTACCTAGGGTTTCCTTGATGACGTGGCTTTCCTTAGAAGCATCGGGGTGTCCCCTCCCCCAGTGACCCTGCTCTTCGCAGCCGGTGCCCAGATTGTCTTTCTCTTCTCCAGGGTCGCACTAGTCTCCTGACCAGGAGCTCCTGTGGCTCAGCGTTGTCAAGCTCTTAGGAAGTCCCCTTGTTCCCTGGGTTGGCTGACTCAGGGGCAGAGCCCACTATTGCTCTTCTTGGCCCTTTTGCTTAGCCTCAATCTCCAAATCTTGATCTTAGACTTCCAGCAAGCCAGTCGCACCAGCCTCAGAGTAACAGCCCTGGGCTTCAGGTTCAGTGTCCTTGACCTCACAGTGATTGACCCTTGTGTGTAACTGGGTCTGTGTTAGTACCAGAAGTTAGCCTTACATCCTCTGTGTCCTCCAAGTGATGGCTTATTAGCTTCAATTAACCCAGGGTGTGTGTTCTTGAAGCAGAACCTCTGCAAAACATTAACAGCCAACAGTTATAGACTTTACAAGGAAAATACAAAATGAAATTAACAAGGGTAAAAACATACTGAGTTTGTGTAAGGGCTATCTTGAATTTTGGCTGAGTTATATATTACGTCCCTGTTTGAGGTTACAGAATCTTTACAATAAACATCAATCTTGGGCTGGGGTTGTGGCTCAGCGGTAGAGCGCTTGCCGTGCACGTGCAAGACTCTGGGTTCGATCCTCAGCATCACCTAAAAATAAATGTATAAAGGTATTGTGTCCAACAAAACTAAAAATAAATTTTAAAAAACATCATTCTTCTGAATGTAACTTCAAATCAGCTGACGAGGCCTATCTTGGAGCCATTGTAACATGTAGTAAGGTAGGAGGCACAGCCTTATCTCAGGGAGGTGGGCCTTTTTTATAAATCTTAGGTAAGTGTTCTAGTTCTGAAGTTGATCTTTGTCTCTTCCTTAAATGTYATTTTACAAAGTTTGCATTCACTGTTTCCTGAGTCTATGTGAACATAACTTAACACAATATAACATTGCATTTAAAACATGAATCAAAAAAAGGCTGAGAGAACATTTAACTTTCCTTTTGTGTGGAAAAGTGGTAACATGTTTTTATGTTTTACAATATTACTTTTAAACAGATGAGGCCCTCCTCATTATCCTTTATAAATCTGTTTGAATAAAAATTTTAGTGGGAAGAGTAACACAACATTGTGTACATAACTTATTGACAAGAGGTTACTTTATCCAGCAATAAAACATTAAATGACATGAATAAATATCAACCCAATTTGYTATTTTTATACAAACTTGAGACTTTTGCTACAGGTAATTTTAGTTTGGAGAATACCAACGTGGCAAAGTGTTCTCATAAGCTTTTCGTTTAACTAAGTTTGGCTTTTCATGTATGATGTAAAATCCAACGTGTATGATAACAACGATCATAGGTCTTCCTAGSTTAACAAAAATCTCTTCTACATTTAGGAAGAGTGTTAATGATCARAACTGACTTAGTYAAATGAACAGATATAAGACAGATCTTCTAATGATAGAATGGCCCTTTCATAACCATGGGCAAGTACTTATTGGTTATCTAGATGGTAAACTTACATGAACTTCCATTTTATAAAGTCACCCA